CTGCAACATAACAAAATTGAAAAAAGTGAAGGGAGTCTGAATACTTTCTGAATGCACTGTAAAACCCATTGAGATGCTGTGGGGTGATTTGAAATGGGCTGTGCATGCACGAAACCCCTCAAAACATCACACAGCTGAAAAAATTCTGCATGGACAAGTGAGAAAAAATTCCTCCCAGTCAACATCAGAGACTGACAGATTGTTATAAGAAATGTCTACTTGAGGTTGTTTCTACCAAAGGGCAATACTAAGCATTAGTGCCAAGGGTGTACTTACTTTTTCCACCCTTTTTGCCTTTATGTTTATCTAAATTACACAAATACGAAACTTATTTTTTCACATGACTATAAAATGAAGGAATTAAAATTTTCCTTGTACATAATAATACAAACACATGCCTCATAAAAATATTGCAACCTACCTGGTAACATTTTGGTAACAAATCCTTGCTAGCTGCAGGCAGTACTGCAAGAAGTTGTTCAAATGGCATAAATGGTTTTCCTAAATCTAAATGAATCTTCAGTTCACTGACATTGCAAATATCTGAGAGATACGGTGCGTAATGATAAGGGTAGTACCTAGAGGGAAGTAATATATTATTTCAGTTCTTTAAAGTTCTTAGATGAAAACCGGTATCCTGAGCTTATTCAACCAAAAAGCTAAAGGTAGGAAGAAGACATCTGAAATAACATGTTATTTGAGTAACATTATTCTGAAAGTGAGATACAGGTTAAGAAAGAACTAGAAGGGTATGGCTTTCTAGTGGCTTATAGTGTTAAAAAAAAAAAAAGCCTAAAATACACAAACTGATCTATAATTTCTTTTGTAATAATTAGCTTACCAGCTCCATGACTGAACACCATGGTAGTAATAGTGCAAAATCCACTGTATTGCCTGGACATAACATTTTGACTGGTCAGCCAGAAAGTCACTAAAAAAAAAAAAGCCACAAACATACACGATAGACAGGAATAAGAAGCTATGGATTTAAAAATAAGTAAGCAACTGTGTCCATCAATTCACTTGGGATATTATAGCACTTTGGCAAGTTTTTTACAGCAAAAGTTTATAATATTTTAGTGACAACACTTACTCTGAAACAACTTCTATACCCATCTTTGTCATATAATATGTTCTTTTGTACTGTCTAAATTCTGCTTCAAACAAACCATCATCTTCCAGTTCATCTTCTAATGCTGCTAGAAGAGACACAAAATTGAACAATACTTGTTATTTAACAACTATCAACACTGTCCATACTGTTAAACAGAAACAAATTGAAATTTATGTGCTAAAAAATCTGCAAACAGTACTAGTGTTTTAAAATTGATGATATACATTAAATAAGTTAAGATATGAAGAGCCCTGCTAATTCAGATTGTATGAAGTCCACCTGCAGCAGTATCATATTTACCACAGTACTCAATCAGTTGTCTCAGAAAAGCTTACAAGCAATGCATAATGCACTAGCATATTGTACCCAATGTGAATTTTCTAATTTTGAATTGGAAAAATGATAATTTTCTTCAATCAACTGAGCTGGCAAATTTCACTTCCATTTAACACATTCATTATGCAAAGTATCTGAAAAGTCTTCCAATATTTGGAATATATTTTATATTTCCTAATCAAATATTTAGGGGGATGCAGTGGCGCAGCAGCTTAATGACGCTGAAAGTTGCCGGCCAGAAATGGTCGACGCTTCAGCGGTTCGAGTCCAGCCTTCGCGTTAGCAGGGTGAGCTCTTGTTT